GCTAGATCTCTATCTCCACAAGGTAGTGGATCTAGGCATCAAGTACGGGGGCTCTTCCTTCTATGACTACCACAAGTCAGTCTCAGCGAAGGCGGCGACCCATCTCAAGCAGTTCAACATTAGAATGAACTGGGGTCAGATGGACACTGAACTTTTCTGTCGCCACTTCGCTGGACTCAGGCCCCCGGCTTGTGCCATCTGTAATTCTACATCCCACATGGCGGACTTATGTCCCGTCGAACCAGATCCCACCACCTCCACTCTCACCCCTCACCCCACGTTCACACCTCACTCCTCTTTCACCCCTCACAACAAGCCAGCGGGTGGTCTCCGGGATAAGCTGGGTAGGCCCATCTCCTTTTTAGGTAAAGCACAGGTGTGCAATAATTTCAACGCAGGCTCCTGCAGTTTCAGCGCCTGTAGATTATTGCACATCTGCTCCATATGTTTCAGGGCACATACCAAGACCATGTGTCCAGCCAGGTTGTCACCAAACAAATGACTAACCGACATAAATATCGACAACCTGGTTTTTTATCTAAGGTCTCACCCCAGCGGGCACTTAGTGGATTTTCTCACCACAGGTTTCTCACAAGGGTTTCACACAGGCATAATAGCCATTCCACCAGGTACACTAGAATGTCCTAATCTCCAGTCTGCACGTTTAGACCCAGTCGCTGTAGACACTCTCATTTCCGCAGAAACCACAAACGGTTTCATGATCGGTCCTTTCACCTCTTCACCGTTTTCCTCCTGGCGCACTAACCCTATTGGTATTGCTATTCACAAATATTCTAATAAAAAACGTCTCATTATCGATTTATCGGCACCGCACTCCTCTTTTGTTCCAAGCATAAACGCACTCATTCCAGCAGACGAATTCTCTCTGCAGTACGTCACCATCGACGACGCCATACAGTCCATCATGACATCTGGTAATCGACCCTGGCTCAGCAAAACAGACATCACTAACGCCTTTAAATTACTGCCCATACACCCCTCACTCTGGCACTTACACGGTGTTAAATGGCGAGGGTATTATTACTTCTCAACACGACTCACTTTTGGTTCGCGAAGCAGCCCCAAACTTTTCGACATTTTCGCAGAGTCACTATGCTGGCTGCTTCTGAACGTCATCAGGTGTCACTCCGTTATTCACTATCTAGATGACTTTCTACTGATAGAGCCAGGGTCATCAACACCCACAGCAATCAATAGTACTACCGCACTTTTTTCCACACTTGGACTCCCTTTGTCCCCAGCCAAAACTATAGGACCCACAACAAAGTTACGAAAACCTTTTTCAAAAAAGTATGTACTAACACTGCAATTGACCAAACTAGTTGCCATTATAAACCATGGCTTGAGAGCGCCCCCAAGAGCCAATTCTTAAGAATACGCCGTAATTGCTCTCAAATAAATGATTTCAATGATCAATCACTGATTTTAAAGAAGCAATTTATTGAAAAGAATTATCCTTGTACACTTTTGGATAACACTATAGAAACAGTTAGAAACAAACCTAGGGAAAGCCTTCTAATGTATAAGGACAAAAATAGTCTAGAAGCCCCTAATCTACCTATAATTTTTAATTATAACAATAAAAGTGGTTTTATCAAAAAAACAGTTAAAAAACATTGGCATCTTTTAAGACAAGACGATCTACTCAAAGAAATTTTACCAACTCAGCCGAAAATTGTTTTTAGAGGGGCTCCTAATTTTAGATCCATCTTAACTAACAATTACACCAAAGAAATCAAAAATACTAATCACACTTTTTTAGATGGGGCTAAAGGTTTTTACAAATGCAATCGTTGTACTGTATGTAAAAATACTGATCCAACAACCAAATCAAAAACAACTATTTTTAAATCTAATCAAACCAATAAAAGTTACACTATAAAAATTTTTATCGGGTGCAATACAACCAACGTTATTTATCTATTGGAGTGCCCTTGTGGCCTCCAATATGTGGGTATGACCAGCAGATGTCTAAAGATAAGACTAGCAGAACATTGTAGGAACATAAGAAATGGATATTTGAATCATTCTGTATCTAAACACTTTATCAATCATAATCAAGATCCTAAATTTCTCAAATGTTTAGGAATCCAAAAATGTCAAATACCCTGGAGAGGTGGAAATATAAAAAATATTCTCGGTAGATTAGAGATGCAATGGGTATTTAATTTACAGACCCTAACGCCCCAAGGTCTAAATATAGATTTTGATTTATTCAATTTTTTATAATTTTTTATAACTGGACTGCTTTTTATCCATATTATCTTTGGATTTTACTTATCTATCTGTTTTTTATGAAGTGGTTTTACTATATAGACCCACTTATCTAAGTTAGTTATTCTCTTATTATTTATTTATAGATATATATTTTCTATTTGTTTCTTAATAAGTGGTTCTATTATACAGACCCATTCATTTAAGTTAGTTGATCTTTTATTATTTATTTATTTATCTTTGGCTATTTATTTTTTGCAATTCATTCAATTCTGGCTGTACCTATGTTTGTACTTAAGGTAGATTCCTCTATGTCCTTCTTTGATAATATACTGTAATATTCT